CATGGCGCTGGAAATAATGACGCCAGCGCTGCAGCGCAAGCACCATTCGGAACGAGCGGAAGCGCAGAAATGAGGCCAGCGACGCAGCAGGAGCAGCATTTTGACTCGAAACAAAGAAATACAAACACAAAAAGCAAAAAAAAAAAAAACATAAAACAACAAAAAACGCTCCCGGAACCCTGGGTTGGAACAAGTACGCGGGGGGGCTGGATATTTCCCAGACGTCACCAGGGCAGGGGAGAGAGGAGAGCAGCATTCACATTGTGTAGCTGTGGAGGAAGAGGAAGAGGAAGAGGAGGAGGAGGAGGAGGAGGAGGAGGAGGACGTGGAGGAGGAGGAGGAGGAGGAGGAGGAGGAGGAGAGGAGGAGGAGGAGGAGGAGGAGGAGGAGGGAGGAGGAGGAGGAGGAGGAGGAGGAGGAGGAGGAGGATTTGTTTGACATCCACGTAAGCGCCTCCAAATCCTTGGCTCGACCAAGGAGGCGAGCCAGCAGCGGAGGGAGATGCGGACTCAAATTGAAGATGATTAGGAGGAGAGCTGCACGACCACAGGGCCACCTCCTCCTACGAGGAGGCTACCCTTAGGCCGAGCGGCACGCCCCTCAACATCAGTCCGACCCCGAACTCTCGTCTTCGCGAGGGCTCGGGATGAAGCCCGCATCGTTCACACCCGTTCGGTGGGCAGACGATGCGCGCGGCGACGCAGCGGAGGGGTCTCCAGAGACCGCGCCCTGAGGCCGCCCTCCCAGGACCCCACCCCTACCACCCTTCCGTGACAGCGAATCCCGCCCACGCTGCGCGAAGCAGCGGCACGATTCCCGCCCCTCGTGCCGTCGGCATCCCCCAACCGAGGGTCCGCGGCACTGCCGACGGCAGAGCCGACGGTGACGCTCGATCGGGGGACCGCGGCACTCGGAAGGGCCCACGGGCCTCACGACTGCCACTTCCCCCAGAGAAGTCGGAGAATGACTGGAAGAGCGGCGACAGCGCTAGCCGCTAGTCCAGGCTCAACCTGCGCGGCAGGATCAGAGCCAGGAACGGAGCCGAACTGCAAACTCGAAGCCTCCTCTTCGCCGTCAAATTCGCAATCCCAAGGCGCGGCCTCCGAAAGATGCGGCTAGAGGGAACTAGGACCAGTCTTCCCCGCCCCGGGCCCACCCAGCCCCACCCCCCGCTCCACCCCAGAGGAGGAGGAGGCAGCAGCAGCAGCGGGGTCAGAGATGACCGGCTGAGACCGCACGGCCTCCTGGCCGAGGTTATTCTCGTCAAAGGCTGGCCCGTTAAAGCACTCCACAAACGAGCCAAGGTCGACAGACACACCATTCTTACGCCTAAAGTAGCGCGGGTGCTTACCACGGCTTAATTCGGCCCACCCAAGACGACCTGCGCGAGGGGGGGGCGGCATTTATCGGCCGAGCCTCTGACGTGGCCCCCAGTCGAATGGTATTTGCACCTCATGCATATGAAGAGCACAGAGTGGTCTGGACGATCGAAGGCAGTCGTTCTATGGCCTAGACGGCCCTGATGATCAGCGCGCAGCTTGCTGCCACGGGGGCAGCGACCTCCAGGGGGGATGCTGGACGACCTAGACCCCCTGAGGCAGAAGGCGCACCCCCAAACTCCAGCCCAACGTTCCCAGCGATGGCAAGCAGCACTAGTCGTCTGAGGGGGCTGGGGGACACGCTCAACGTTAGTTAAATCGATATTCGGCCACAGGTGAACAACTGCGCAAGCTACCTTGAGAGCGGCCTAAGCGAACCGAACCTGCTCGCCAGCGCCTTGAGGCAGCCCCGCATCAGCAGGGTGAATCATGAGAGCACGTTTAGCACCCACATCAGCATAGTTACTGTCACTTCTACGCCCGGCATCATCGATCAAAGCATCATCGGTTTCTTTATAGGCGTCAACTCTGGTACACCCCGAAACATCCGAAAACTGCCCATGACACTGCAGGAACGCTCCCGAATACATCTTTGTGTACGAGAGTTGCTCGGGCTTCGATCTCCCAGCCAATTTCACCACATTGGAGCAGTCCGAATAAACGTGGCAATCGGCTGGGGTCGTCGCCAAAACATTGGCCCACGTGTAAGCACTGAACTCGGCGCTCTGAGGGGTTTGGGGGCAGGGGCCCCAGATAGGGGCTCGAAACTCAGCCACCAGGACCCCCTCAGAGTCCACCGTGCAGACCGAGCTAGCAGCCCTGGAGAGCTCTCGAACAGGGTGACGGGCACATGAGCCGTCCACGAAAAGCGAGCCCCACAATCTATTCGTGATGGGCCCTCCATCAGGGGCAGAGTCAGGTTGAACATGCCACTTAAGGAAATGACCATCATCAGCCTCAGTGAGGGACCTCGGGTAGGTGTCGGCGGGGTGCCGAAAGGCTCCAGCTATAGAACAAAGTAGACATCGCGGTCGCCCGACGCTTTAGCAGCCAGAGCAGCATCTAGCAGCATCTATGATATCTTTGCCCGCAAGTTTTGATCTGGCCTCCACAACTTCGGGACGTTGGCATCCCCACAGCTGGTGGAAAATAGTGTCTCTCGCCCCGCCGTGCACACAATCAGGAGACACACAATAGCCAAGGTCTTCAACCCTGGCAGCCGTGAAGAAGGCTTCCGTGGCAAAAGCCCTAATCCTGGCCTTCTGCAAGGCCGTGTACTTTTTGGACCGATGGGAAATGGCCTGGCGAACAATGTCGTAACAAATCCTGGGAGTGACCCCCCTCTTCGCTCCAGAGTCGCGCTCCACTGTGCGCAAATACCCTTCTCAGACCAGGGACCTAACAAGAGCGGGCAACAGCAACCCAATGGGGATAGTTCTGCCAAAGTTGCCGATGAGAGACAGAAAGTATCGCATGCGCCAGCCAATGCGGATCAGGGACATACCGAGGGCCGACACGGGCCCAGCAACCTGACGCCAGGACAGGCTGTCCAGAGCGAAGACCGAACCCCAGGCAGCTTTTAGGGAAGGCAGGCTGAGCGCCCAAGGGTAAGCCGACGTCTGACTGATCCATACTTCTTTACTCCACCTGAGAATGGGTGCCGTGGCCGCGCGCCACGTCGGATCACTGTCCAGAACGGCGCTGGTCGTCAACGACCTGAGCTAGCTCCGCGGCCAAACAACCGGAAAAACGCGGCGGAGAAGCAGGCGAAGGTCGTGGTCGCTAATGCCAGTCACCTTAGTACCATAGGAAGCACCAACTAAGGGGCCCGCAGAATAGACTTTAAGGATAGCCTTTCTGGATAACACCTTAGCCTGCTTGCCCAAGCGTCGCGCAGCACGGGCAGATTTGGCCAGTCTGGCCTTCATCTTGGCCGACTTGCCAGCCACTCGGATGGCCCTCCCCGCTGTGTAATCGACCCCGAAGTTGACCGTGGCAGGAGAGCTGTTACTACAAAGATGGCTAAGCTGATCAAGAACCTGGGACCCCACCTATTCCGAACTCGCACGGATGGCCGTCTTATCAAGGGCGAAAGAGTACCCTAACTCCTGCTGAGCAACGTGGTCGAAAGCCTTGGCCCCGCAACCACGGACGAAACGACGAACATGGATTTGCCCGTGGCCGAAAGGCCCTGGCCATCAATGTAGACATCCAGATCAAGGCCGAGGGGAAGGGGGGTGCTGTCGCAACCTTCCACGCAATAGACGCGGATGAGCGTGGTGGCCATCGAGCAGCCAGCGATGACTCCATTGACGCAGAAATAGGGCCCCTCGAACCAGCATCTAAGACTAAGACAGCGCCCGCAGCGGTAGGCATAGAGGCACAGACGAGCAATCAGCGTGGGGACTCCCAGCCTTTGACAAAGATAGTAAAGCTTACCAAGACGAATGTTCTCGCAGAACTTAGATCAATCGAAGAAGATACTGCAGCTGGCCTCGCCTCTGGAGCGCCCGCTCTCAGCGGCCACCGCCTGTCTCCAGACAACATCAGCTGCTCCACGAAACTGGCCAGCGGCCCAGTACCGACGGGGGTTCTCTAGCTCCCAGTCCAGGGCCAGGGAGCGCCTGCAGCGCCCCCACACCCTGAACCAGGAGCAGCAAACCCTTTCGGCCTGTAGCCGCCAGTCGGCTTCGGGAAAAGCGCGAGCAAGACCACCGAAATCTGCGGCGGCAGGCGACCTAAGGCCTCCAGGACGCTCAGGATGCTGCTGAAACATTCGAGGGCATCGTCGCACAAGAGAGAATAGTGACGGCAGTGGAAGCCGTCAACCGAGGAGAGGAGGAAGAGGACTGGAAGCAGCAAGAGGGCGAAGATGAAGCGACTTCCCAATTAAAGGCACACACACATGCACGTACGCACGCACGCACGCACGCACGCACGCACGCACGCACACAGCCACACACACACACACACACACACACACGCACGCACGCACACGCACGCACGCACACGCACACGCACACGCACACGCACACGCACACGCACACGCACACGCACACGCACACGCACACGCACACGCACACGCACACGCACACGCACACGCACACAGACACAGGCACAGGCACACAGACACAGGCACAGGCACACAGACACAGGCACAGGCACAGGCACAGGCACAGGCACAGGCACAGGCACAGGCACACACACACACCTCACACCTCACACATCGCCCATGCGGTGATCAAAGTGCAGCAGCGGTTAGGAAGGATTCGGGGAGGACGTGTTCCTAAGCATCCGCGGACAGCTGCGACATACAAGTTCTGCAGGGGTGGCGAGACCTGGCGGGCAACCAGGATGCCTTTCTCATTGACATAATATATACACATCCAAAGCTAATCATGCGAGGAGAATGGGGGGAGGGCAAGGATAAGGAGGAGGAGGAGGAGGAGGAGAAGGAGGAGGAGGATGGGAAGGAGGAGGGGGAAGGAGGAAGATGGGGAGGAGGATAGTCAGTCGCCGAGGTCAGAACTGAGTGCGAGGGTGAAAAGGAAGGTCGCTGCAGTATGCTGCAAAGGCTGCGCTACTCGACTGCGGTAGGGAGGGAGTTTTTTCCCTCGGAGCCTGGTTCTTCAGCCAGCCGCCTAAATTGCTCATGGCTCCGGGCGCGAAAGGAGGGGTGCCGGGGTGGAAGAACCGAGGAGCGGAAGGAAGTTATTTCAGGGGGTCCTCCGCATTCCACCTGTCTCTTGCGTCCCCTCCCATGCGTCTCGTCCCTTGCACCCCCCTTCCCTCCCGCCTTTTTCTACCCTAGCCCCTCCCATCTCACTTCTCCAATTCCCCATCCACCTTCCCACTCGGGCGCCCTTCCGCACTCCCACAGTACCAAAGGAGGTCCACCAAACTCGAGGGAACCATTTTCGCTCTGCTGCTGCTGCTGTTGCTGCTGCTGCTGCTCCTCCTCCTCCTCCGCCTCCTGCTCCTTCTCTTCCGCCTCCGCCTCCTCCTCCTCCTCCTCCTCCTCCTCCTCCTCCGCCTCCTCCGCCTCCTCTGCCTGAGGCGGGTTGCAAGGACGATGAGGACGAGGATGAGGCAGAGAAGCAGGCACAGATGGATCACAAAAAGGCAGCAGCGGGAAAATCAGGGGAGGAAGGAGCCGATTCAGGAGGGCGACGAAGAGCAGAAGGAGGACAAGCAGGATGAAGAGGAGGACGAGGATGAGGAGAGGAGGGGAGGTGGGGAGGAGTGAGTGAGTGAGTCAGCGAGCGAGCGAGCGAGTGAGTGAGGGCGTGAGTGATTGAGTGATGCAATGAATGGGTCACTAGTATGTTGTGCCAACAACAGCCCTCTGCGGGTGAGGAGGGAGTAAAGGGAAGGGAGGGGGGAGGAAGCAAGAGGCAGGAGGCAGGAGGGAGGAGGAGGGAGGATGATGATGAGGAGGAGGAGGAGGAGGAGGAGGAGGAGGGGGAGGAGGAGGAGGAGGAGGAGGAGGAGGAGGAGGAGGAGGAGGAGGAGGAGAGAGGAGGAGGAGGAGGAGGGGGAGGAGGGGGCAGGGGGAGGAGGAGGAGGAGGAGGAGGAGGAGGAGGAGGCGGAGGAGGACGACGACGACGACGACGAGAAGGAGAGGGAAGGGGGCGAGGAGGGGTTCTGGAATCTTGAATTATTCATATGGCGGGCCACGAAGTCAGCGCGACCCACGAAGAGAGCGACAGAGAGAAAAAGAGGTCGCGAACCAAATACATCAACAGGTACGGCGCTTGCATGGAGGGAGGGAAGAGGACGTCGGAATAGGAGGCGGAAGCGGGAGGAGGACGAGAAGAAGGAGGAGGAGAAGAAGGAGGAGAAGGAGGAGGAGGAGGGGAGGAGGAGCAGGAGGAAGGAGGAAGAAAAGGAACAACATGGGGCGGAAGGGGCAGGGAGGAGGGAGGAGGAAGAGGAGGGGGAGGGGGAGGAAGAAGAAGAGAGGAGGAGGAGGAGGAGAAGGAATAAGAAGAGTAGAGCGTAGAAGGGAGAGGAGGGAGGAGGAGAGGAGGAGGAGGAGGAGGAGGAGGAGAAGGAGGAGGAGGAGGAGCAGTGGGGGAAGAGGAGGAGGAGGAGGAGGAGGAGGAGGAGGAGGAGCAGTGGAGTGAGAGGGGCTGGAGGAAGAGCAGCAGAAGGGGCACTTGGAAGAGGAGGGAGGCCGGAGCTAGGAGGCCGCAGCCGGCGGCGGCCGCGGGGTCGGAGCCGAGGGTCGGGGCGGGCCGCGGCGCACGCCCAGCAAGGCCGAGCGAAGGCGCCGCATGCGGAGAGGACACGACGGGGGCGGGGGGGAGGTGGGCAGGGAAGGGGGAGGAGAAGGGCGAGGACGAGGAGGGAAGGGGGAGGAGAAGGGGGAGGAGGGGAAGGTGCAGGGAAGGGGGAGGAGAAGGGGAGGAAGGGAAGGGGGAGGAGAAGGGCGTGGAGGAAGGTGATGATGAAGAGGAGCGAGCGTCACCTGGGGGGCAGGTCCCTTCGACCCAGGCGCTGCGCGGCCCGGCGCTGCCCGAGAGGTCCGCGGGGAGCCTCAGCGCGTGCCGGGCGGCGCAATTGCCGCAGTATGGGAGGATGAGAAGGAGGAGGAGGAGGAGGAGGAGGAGGAGGAGGAGGAGGAGGAGGAGGAGGAGGAGGGCACGAAGCTCAGCGGGCAAAGGTCGAGCCTAAGCCCTCGGGAAACGAAGACGACGCAATGCTGCTAAGCGCGCCGCGGCGGCAGCAGCACCGATGGCAATCGGAAGAATGGCGATCGGGGTGGGCAGAGCCGAAACAAGGGACGGGAGGCGCGATCGGAGCGAGGGGACCGAGCGCAGGGGGAGGTCGAGGCCGAGAAGCCAGGTTTCAAGGAAGGGATCGAAATGCGCCGCGAGGCTAGAACTACTGGCCGCCTCACTGTCCGTGTCTCCGTCCGCAGTCGTGGAGCCCGCGGCACTGCGAGCATGCTGCTCCAAGCCGTGTCTCAGCGAGGCGAACTTCTGCATACCGCCCTGGGAGGAGGCCTTGCAGACCTGACCATCGGTGTGGCTGTGAGCCTCTGCAGCACGAAGAGCGCTACCATGCGGCTCCACACCAGGAGGAGGTAGAACGGCATCACGATGAAGAGCGGCCCGATCGTCTCCATCAGGAGGGTCGGCGGGAACCGCTTCAACAGGCAGATCGACATGAGCAGCATCGTCGGGGGGAGCGTCATACTCATCTTCAGCACAAAAATGATGAACTCGCTCACTGGCAGCTGCGACAAAGGGATCAGGGCGAACAGCATCAGCAGGAGTACCGGCAAGAAGGGCACGAGCAGCTTCCGCATGATGATCAGCATCGGCGGACACGGGCACTGGCAGCCAAACTGAGAGCCTGGAAGGCAAACTTCTGCATGCTGCTGTAGACGGCGGCCTGGCAGACCTGCGCGTGCACGTCCAGGGAGTCGCAGATATTCGAGCATAGCTACTCCGAGAACGTCGTGATAATCGTACCCAGCGCCATGACAGAGGCCGACTGGCGACGCACAAGGCCTTGCAAATCCGAGATGGTCTGGGACTGCCGCTCCACGAACTGGCGCAATTGGCCCACCGCGTCCCGCACAGCTGCCACCGGTACCATGCCGCTGCCCTGGCGAGTTTGAGCCGAGATGGGACCTCCGCAGGCTTCGCGCGGTCGTTCATCGTCTGCGTCCTTGCCGTCCATGGCACCGAGCACCGGCGCGTTGGGGTCGAGAGAGTCCGACACGCGAGCTCCCGCCTCCGAAAGCCAGCAACCAGGGGCCCACTGAGCGGCAGAATCACCATCGGCAGCATGTTCTGTCCAGTCGTGCATGGCCCCGTTGCGAGCCCGGTGCGCCCGCCGCGCAGCCACGAACGCCTCCTCCGACATGTGCGGCCTCGCGAGCGCGGCAGCGGCGTTGGCAAAGTGGACCGGTCTCCCGAGCGTGCTGCAGTGGCCGTCGTGCAAGGACAGCGACTTGACGATCGCCTTGACGCGGTGGAGCAGGAAGACGGGGATGAGAAGATGAGCGCGGCCCTGGGGCGTCTGGGTGAGGTAGCCTCGCAGCGCAGCGCGCTGCGAACGGCGGCAGCGAGCGGCGGCCGAGCGCACGTGCGGCATCAGCGGCAACACTCGCGGGGAAGAGAAATTCAGAACATGGAAGCACCACACGGGGCGGTGCGCAACCAGAGGACCCAGCGCGCGCGAACGACGAGGAGGGAGCCAAGGAGCAGGTATAGGAAAAGGGCGATGAGGACTACATCCCCGTGAAAATGCAACAGCAATGGCACGGGGATGGAAGCCGAAACACTGTGGAAGCAATGCGGGCGGGGCCCGTCGCATTAAATGGCATCCGCCTGTCAATGTTGCGGAAAGCTATCGCGTACTCGCTGCGCGGTGCATGGCAGGCGTCTCATTGGAGGAACGAAACAGTAAGGCATGAACTGGGACCACTCACGCCTGCGGCCAATGAGGGAACTACCAGGAAGCACACCTGGGCATTAAGCCGCACCCACCTCTCACTGTTGCTACCGGGCGCGCGAGCCAGTGGAGGATATATCGATAAACTGGTCAGAGTCCACAGTTGCGCACGCGGCCAGCATTGAAAGGCGGGTATCACCTAATGATCCTTTTGTGGGCGTCGTCGCTCGCGTATCACTCAATACGATCGTAGTTTACGTGTTGTTATGGTGTTCCTCTCCGCTGCGTAGGAGGGCAAGAAGGAGGAGGAGGAGGAGGAGAAGGATGATGATGAGGAGGAGGAGAAGGAGCAGGAACAGCAGTAGCAGCAGAAGAAGAACACTGGGCGGGGCGAGGAGGATGAGGAGAGGAATGATAATAGGAGATGGCGGTGGTGGATGAGGAAGAGGATTATGATGATGCAGAGGGTGAGGAGGGGAAGGGAGATAATGATGCTGCTGCTGATGATGATGAGGAGGAGGAGGAGGAAGAGGAGGAGGAGGAAGAGGGCGGGAGGAGGAGGAGAAGGAGGAGGAGGAGGAAGAGGAACAGGAACAACAGTAGCAGCAGAAGGAGAAAAACACTGGGCGGGGCGAGGAGGATGAGGAGAGGAATGGTAGTAGGATGTGGCGGTGGCGGAGAAGTAAGAATGGAGGAGAAGGACGGCGAGGACGAGGAGGACGCGGCGGCGGAGGGAGGGAGGAATAGCGAAGGAAACGCGTGGAGGAGAAAAGAAGGGGGCAGGGCAGGAGGGGTAGTCGTGCAAAAATGTATCCGACCTGCGAGTAGCGATGGCCGCCAAAGCCGCTCGCGCCCGCACTCTTCAGCCTCCTCTTGCCCATCCCCTTCCAGCTTATCCTCGAGCTCCTGCTCTGACTGTTGCTGCTCCGCCTCCTCTGCTTCCCCATCTGCTCCTCCTCCGGATCATCACCCTCATCATCATCATCATCATCATCATCATCATCATCATCATCAGCATCATCATCATCATCATCATCATCAGCAGCAGCATCATCAGCAGCATCATCATCGACATCACCAGCAGCATCAACAACATCATCATCGGCAACATCATCATCATCGTCATCGTCATCGTCATCATCATCATCATCATCATCATCATCATCATCATCATCATCATCATCATCATCATCATCAGCATCATCATAATGATCAGCATCATCATACGATTCCCCCCTCCCCATCGTCATAATGCCCCCCTCCTCCTCCCCAGCCCCTCCTCCACTTCCTTCTGCGTACATGCTCGTTCCCCTCATTTCTTCATACTAAATTAAGCATGCCTTTCGCGCGGAGTCCATTGCGCCGCACGCGATGGGCATGTTGGGGCGAACCTGGCAACGCGCGGACCCCTGGCCTATGGCCTGCACGTAAACCTGAGAGATGGAGGGAGTATAAGGAAGGAGAGCAAGACCCTCGTACCTCAATGCTTTCGGGGGATAAGTGGAAGTTGAATGGAGAAGAGCAGAGCGGCCGGGTCGCGTGGCAATGCTTGCAGGCGCGGCGGATGCACGTGACGAAACACCGTGTTGGTAGCGGTGCAAACGGCATACATTGTCGACAGCGTTGTAGACATCGCCGCAGTGGCAGTAGTAGGCGCCCACGATGGTTCAAGCTTTGAATATTGTTGTCCTGGGTGCAATTGCCGTCTGAGGCGCGCGCGTCGTCCAGCGCCTTTCGGTGGCCCGGCGCAGCTCCTCAACGAAGCAGTCGTGGCTGTAGTCGGCGTTGTGGGGTTTGTACCATTCTCTGGGAGTCTGCGTAGACTGTGTAGCTCCCCCTCGGGCTATAGCTCTTCTGCTGGCTGCAAGTCCCCTGACTGTATATCCCCCCTTCTCCGCCGTAGACTTCCTTAGATGAATAGAACGCGCTGCGGCAGATGCTCTCCAACAGTCACACCCCTTCAGGCCGCAGAGGCCCTCCTAGCTGTAGGTATAACTGCGGCTGCATCCGAATTTCAGGTTCAAACCACCGTTGCTGCCAGGGTTCCCTGGCAGGCTGCAGCTGTATTCGAGGCCGTGGCCCTCCTGGATGGCGCAGCTGCCGCCGCAGCTGCAGCTCTCCTTCCGCGCGAGGCTGCACGTGAGGTTGTTGCCATTTTGATGGTTGCCGCTCTTCTCCAAGGTGTGGATCTCTTATTATCAACCATCCTGTGGTGTTGGGTCCTCGTTTTGAAGAGACAACGCCCCGCGTTTCCACCTTCCTCCTCCCTCCTCCCCTCCTCTCATCATCATCAGCATCATCATCACCATCATCATCATCATCGTCGTCATCATCATCAACATCCGCATCGTCAACATCATCACTCAACCGAAGGTCCCAATGGCGCGGTTGGCATGTGTCTCTCCCCCCCCCCCAATACAGCGCTTCGTGGCCCCACAGCGAGCGCCACCGAAGGTCCCCATGGCGCAGTCCGCGTGCGTCTCCGCCATTCATTTCGGCCCACCCCTCACACGCTTCGTGGCCCCATAGGAGCGCCGCCGAAGGTCCCAGTGGCACAGTTCGGATGCGTCCCCGCCATTCATTTCGGGGCACACCCCTCGCACGCTTCCTGGCCCCATAGGAGCTCTGCCGACGGCCCCAGTGGCACAGTCCGCATGCGTCCCCGCCACTGATTTCGGCCCACCCCTCACACCTGTCGTGGCCCCATTGGGGCTCCGCCGACGGCCCCTGTGGCACAGTCCGCATGCGTCCCCGCCAGTCATGTCGGCACACCCCTCACACGC